AGCCAAAGGCAGACACTTAATGACTGAGCCACCCAGGCGCCCCTCATTCATGATTCTGACAGCCACCCTTGAACTTCAGTGTTCCTGAACTCCCCTGGCTTGTCCTCATCTTCCCCAGGGTTCCCCAGGGGTCCTGGACAAGGCTCGGACTCCCGCAGCAACATTCGGGCTTGGTTTATAGAGGCCCCTCAGGTTTAAAAGTGCTGCCCTTGGCCGAATAGCCAGCCTGACCCATTATCTCCTGTGACCTTCAGGTGAACCTGGGGTGGAAGGAGCAGGTGGTAGAGGGCAGCAGCAGAGCTATTTGTCCTGGAACTTGAGCTCAGAGCAACCTCTAATCTAGGCTGTTGTGCAGTAGCCTATTCGGACAGGGGAGGGCTTTGTTCCAAATGTTAACTTGAACTGATCCCCGGTGTATTAACTCAGTCTGAGAGTGAGTGAGCAGATCCAAGCTTGGCAGCTGTCTAGGCCTCTTTGTGGTTCTCAGAGAGCCCGACGAAAGCTTGGGATTGGGTGTCGGGTGAGAGTTGAAGCTCAGTGTACCTGAACTCGCTCAGCTGTGTAACAAGCAGAATCAGACAAAGCCTGCGTTCTCTAACAATGCAGTCAGCACTGACCACCTCCCTCATAGAAAGATCTCAGGACCACCCAAAGCAACGTGCTTTGCTGAGTCGTTGAATTGTCTTCTCATTAGTGGAGCTGGGTTGGGCCCAACACATCCATCTTTGCTGTCCTCGTGAGCCTTCTGATGCCGGGCCAGGGGTAGGGACGCTGTTGGTAGTCAAGCAACAGAGTTTAGGTCTGTGTTATGTGACTCAGCCTGCACCAAGATAAACGCTGGCTCACAAATGCTGGTTTGGGTTAGCAATCTGCACCAGGTGTTAGGCTGAGTGCACCTGGGCCTCCTCCAGCAATCACAGCAGGTGCCTGAGATGCCGTGTTCTGCAACTGTACTACTCAGAATGGACTAGAAGCTAGCCAGTGTCCTGGGTTTTTAAAGTCCCAAATCCTTTTCTCCAGTACCATTGAGAGCAATCCTATGACTAGTTTTTTTCTGGGAGAAAGAAACAAACTATTCGACGTGTTCAACCTGGATGGGACCTACCAAGACAGGACCTGCAGGAATTCATTTTCTTTTTCCATTTGCAGAATGGTTGGGAATCGAAGATCTTTCCAAACCTGACTATGGAGATCCTGTGGTGTGTCAACCAGGGGACGTCCCAGTGTTCTGGACTTCTCAGATGACCAGTCTCAAAGCTGTCAGCAGCTGCAGTACGTCCGGGCTTAGAGGGGGCTATGACTATGACCCAGGTTGGAAAAGGGTGGGTATCTAGTTCTTGGAAGCATAGGCTTGCAGGGCAGTGACTTAAGAAACCGAGTTACAAAACAAAATATAAAACATACAGATCTCCCAGGGCTGGGTCTCACCAGCAGCTTGTACGTTTTGATTAAATATATTTCCATCTGCAGAAGGCTCCCAGGCCATTCTAATAGAAAGACCAATATTTAGCTTGACTTTCTGAGACATTTTGAAGGTTGGCAGGGCTTTGAAAACAAGAGTGAAGGCAAACAGCACCACTAAACACTCCATTTCACATGGTATTTGCAGGGTACAGTGGTCCCCCTTTCCCCGCAGTTCTGCTTTCTGAGGTCTATTGCCCGCAGTCAACAGCAGTCCAGAAGCAGATGATCCTCCTTCTGACGAATCGTGGCCTCATGCTACATCACAGGCCCTCTCCCCTCACTTCCTCTCATCACGTGGGCATTTTTCATCTCACATTGTCACAAGAAGAAGGGTGAGGACAACACAGTGAGGTATTTTTAGAAAGGGAGGACCACATTCACAACCCTTTTATCAGTATATTTTCTAATTGCTCTATTTTATTATTAGTTATTGCTGTTAATCTCTTACTGCGCCTAATGTATAAATTAAACATCATAGGGATGTACGGATAGGAAAAAACATAGTCTATATAGGGTCCAGTGCTATGCAGGGTTTCATGTGCACTGGGGGGCCTTGGAACATATCTTGATAAGGGGGGGGACCTCTGCATTTAAAGCAATACGGTCAGTTTATTTTTTTCAAAGACATAGGGTGATATTACAATGAAGAGACACACGAGGGCGCCCTAACCAGCTCACAGTAAGGTAGGGATGTGCTAGAAACCTTAAGAATAACTATGGCAGCCCATTTCGCAGACACCAGAAAATTCTAGCCAGGTCAGGCACACTGGAACTACAAATCACAGAATTTAATGTTACCTTAACTTTTTTGAAAGCATTCATATAAATTTAGCTATCAGAACGGCCTCACGATAGGGGAAGATTATTTCTAATATAGCGATGAGGCATAAATGCCAAGATTCATGGAATTCTATTCATTTATTTTTTTAAGATTTTATTTATCTATTTATTTATTAGCCAAGTCCAGGAAGGTGGCTTTGTGTATCTATAAGAGTTCAGTAAGTACTTTCTGATACCCATGGGGTTCAGTTGATGGCAATTCCTATCTGTAGCTGGGCTGCCCCTCCCTTCTGTTCCCACACGCATCTCATCTTCACTTTCCTAAACACTGGAGGCATCTGTTTAAGTGGGGCTTGATTTAGCCATCAGCTAATTTTTTCTGATTTGGTGCAACAAACCATGTAAGGAGCGCTGTTGGCGGAGCCGAGGCCCGGCACCATCTTGCCCACCAACCGTGGGCTACATGAGAACGGACTGAATTTGATGAAGTGAGTGCACTCAGTCCCTCCCGTTGTGTGTTTTAGAGACCCCACTGGCTTTCACCAGTGCGCCGGGTTGACAGTCATGACCAACCTGAAGGATACAAAGGCTCCAGCCCGTTGTCTTACCCCTGAGGGAATTGCAGGCGTGAACCTTCCACCAGAGGTCCATCGCATTTCCCAAGATCCTTTGCACTACAGCATGGCATCGGCTTCAGCTGTTCAGAAGATTAGAGAGCTAGAGACTATAATTGCCATAGACCCAGGTAAGAAACAAAGCGTGCTCACCTTAATGACCTGGAGCAATTCATCACTGGCGTAATGGTCAGTGAAAAAGGCAGCATGCAAACTACATGCATCTACAGGATGGATTTTAAAAAAAGAGAGAGAGAGAGAGAAGAATGTATTCCTCTTTATTTAGCTAACACTATCAAAGAGCAGAGATTGCTATTTTATCCAGAAAGTAGGCATAGCCTTAATGTCAGGCTACTAGACTATAACATTTTTCATTAACTTATGGAAATTGAGACTTCATCCAATGAGGGGCAAGTTTTCACCTATAGGGGTCATTCTGAAGCATAAACCTCAAAAACAATGTTATAACGAGGCTTCAAGTTATTTAGAATCCAAACTCTTTAAAAAGTTACCTGGGAATCATTAAGATATTTGCTTGAGTCCTCTTTCCCTTCAACCTCCATCTCCATTTACAAGGGTCAGCTGCCTAAATTCTCTCTTTGCCTCTACTGTGCATTCCCACAGTGCGAATTTTTTTTTTTAATGCCTATAGTACGTATGAATCCCTAAAAGAAGTAAATACACCAAAATCCTGATGTTGATGATCTCTGGGTAGTTCGAATGTGAATAATTTTTGGTTTTTTATTTGTTTTTTTCCCCGAATTTTCAACACTAAACATAAGAGGGAGTTTGGAAGGTGAGCTTATTAGCTGGACACATTGCCATCACGACTAAATTGGGACTGGGATGGTGAGAAAAAAGGGAGTAGTATGGTTCCTAGGTCACCAACCGCCACCATTTAAACAAAGTCATCCCTGTGTCCCTAATCTCCTCCTTTTGCGCCATCGCCCTGGGCTTGGGTGTAGAATAGATGTTTTTGTGCTGGGCAACAGAGGTAGGGGCAGGGGCTGGATCCCCACTCCTCTGAGGATGCTGGTGGGGCAGGACCCTGCAGGTGATAGCCTCATAAGAGTTTGCAACCAACACGTATATTGTATATTGCGTCTCAGAAAAAGGACAGTCCTTCTGTGGCTTGTGACCCGCTGGCTTCTAGACATGGGATCCACTAGGGGTCTTCTGGTTCCAATTAGGAGGAGGTTGGCTGCCAGCTAGTTGAGGGGTTTTTCTCATCCCCGGGCATGGTCACTGAAGAGCCCCATGTCTAATCCAAGGTGGCCAGCAGAGGGCGCAGGTGTGCACAGAAATTCAATCCATTTGCTGGCAAAGGTTCCAGAGAGAATGAAGGTTCAGCCTTCCCTGGGGCTCTCTGCCTCAGTTTCTCATCAGTATAACAGGAGAAATAACAACTAGACCTCCTTTTTGCGGGGTGTGATGGGTAATAAGAATGACAGCTATCATCTACTGAGTTTTACCTTGGACCAGGCATGCGCTCAAAGCTTGAGCACATTTCATCTTAGATTCTTCCACTGACCCTATGGGGCAGCTATTACTAACTGCCTTTAACAGATGAGGAGACTGAGGCATATAGGGTTAAGAAACTTGCCCAAGTCCACATAGCTGGCACATGGTGGGGGCAGACGTTGAATCCGCACCCACTGACTCCAAGGCCCACGATCAATAAGGGTTGGATAAATTGGAATCTGAGTTTACATGGTATATCACAGTCCCATCGGGCCAGTTAAAAGAGTGCTCTGGCCTCTGCTGGCTCATACCTTATCATGGGCTGTGATTCTTGACCTGGGTGCTCTTTGTACTTTGAAGGTCTGGAGGAGGTGTACCTGGTCTCCCTGTTGGCCCATCAGACCCCTGTTTGCCAGATATCTGAATAGATGGTGCTGGGGTCCCTGTGGAAAGCAGAGGGGTGAGGTCAGCTTGGAGAGGTCGAGCCTCCTGGCCGAAGTCCCAGCACCCAGACAGAGAACAGTGACACTGGGACAGAGAACAGCACCCGGGCACAGTCATAGAGCCACCAAGCTGGGTGCCATTTTGCGTGAACTAATACCGTGGCCAAGAATCAAACAGGGCAGAACGGCCTTAAAAATGTCTGCTCTCTCCCCTGGGCTTGGGACCAAAGGTGGGCATAGCAAAACTTCCTTCAAAACTACAAGGCCTAGCTTTTTGATGTTTTGTCTGTCTGTTATGTTGTTCATTCATTCATTCTTTCAGCAGAGAGTCTGGTTTCTTTTGCACATTAACTCACAGTAAATCTGGGATCAATGCCTACCCCTGATGCCCCTTTTAGGACAGACACATACACGTATAGAGATGGAAGCTCGTGGCTGTGTGTACCTAGAGCCTCTTACATACGCTGATCTCCTGGGTGGATATTTCTTTTTAATTTCTGCAATACTTTCTCCCTCACAAACACTCTTACGCAGGCTAACAGCCCTTCCATTCAGCACAGGGGTCGTGAGGGAAGATGAATTATTAACTCTGCCATTAGCTCAGATAAAAAAGTAAGTGGCAAGTAAATTTATGGCAGACTCGGCGCACCCTAGCTTAATAAAAATGAGCCGGGAGGGCATCCACAAAACCCCCCTTTGGTGCTTGTGCAGACTGTGTCTAGGTTTGAAGCATGAGGAATAGGGGAAAGGCAGATTTATGAGTGTCCGGATGGGCCAATACTGTCTATGAAGGAACATCGTTCATCCTCAAGAACAACAGATGCTTTTGATTCCTGCTATATGAAATAAGCAGATATAAGATTAATGGCACTATACTGAGCATTGCTCACTGGGCTTAATAATAGAGCCACTCAGTCATTTTTGAGAGGACGTTGGCTTGCATTTGAGGTGCCTGGAGAATAAGAAGGAAGGCAAAGTTTGTAGTGACGATGTTTGCTCTCATGCAAAAACCATCATAAATGATGAGCTCATCGGCTGCTCTAAATTTAAAAAAGCTCTCTCTGCCCTCCTCTCTCTTTTGATGTTGATCACATCCTATGAAATAGGTTACTTTCCGGTTTTTTTCTTTAAAAATATTGTTCTTCTCCCCTTTCACCAACAGCAATCCACGTTCGTTGTAGAAACATCAGAAAATATATGAACGTAAAGAGGCAGTGAAAATAACCAGAATCCCATCACAATTAACCGTTATTCACAAACAGTTCAATATTTGCCCTTAAAGTCCTTTTCTTCAGTCTTAAGCCTGTAAGACTGAAAAAAGAATATATATTCTTTATGTATATGTATATATTCCCTTTTTAAATATATTGTGAACATCCTTCCATGTCATTAGTCTTCTACAACATCCTTTTTAATGTTCGCATAGAATTCCATTTTATAGACATTCCACCATTTTTATTAACATCCATCATTTGACACCATAAACAAGGCTGCAGTCAACACCCTCTGACTACTTGTGTGTACATCCCCATGATCCCTTTATCAGGATAAATTCCTGGACGTGAATAGCTGGTACAAGGGGCACGTACAAATCTGAGTACAAATCACCCTCCAGACAAATGTTCCAGTCTCCACCCCCACTGCAGGCATGTGCAGGGCCCTTTCCTGCAGCCTCCCTCCACCTGGACCCCCTCCCCATGCTCCACGTAGGAAAACGGAGGCCCAGAGCAATCCAGGGACGAGGCCAAGGTCCCACAGCTACTTTGGGCTTGAACGTAAGTTTCCGAATTCCAAGTCTGGAACTGTCCCTCCACAACAGGACCCCAACCCTGTGTCCCTCCATGTTCTCCATGCACCTCAAGGGCAAGCTGACACCCTCAGGCCCCATCTGTCGGTCTACCTCTCATTTTAGCCACAGCTGGGGGAGGAGTTCTGAGTCACATCCTGCCTTCACCAGGCCCAGATATGCCTGGGGGTGACCTGAGTATGGACAGGGGCACAATGACAGGCCCTAGGGGGCTGTGCTGTCCAGCTGGGACCAGGTTGGCAGCCACCGAAGGGCATTAGAGCCGATGATGCTGGTGCCCTGCCTGTCTCCCCTGCACCCAACAAGGGGCAGGAGCAGGTGCATCAATGCCCAGTCCCCCTGTCCTCTGGCAGGAGAGCCCTGAGGTGTGGACCCCACAGTTTCCTAGAGCAGCTCAGGCAGGACTGAGGCCCAGTTGCCTTTGTAGTTAATTTGCTCACTCACACATTCATTCTTCAGGAGCTTTTCTCCTTTTTTTCCACACTTCTTCCATCTTCTGACTTAGTGTTCCTGGGCTCACTTTCCGTAGAAATACCTGCACCCAAGTCCTTGTCTGAGGGCCTTCTTCTGGTGACTCCCCCACTAGGGCAGTCCTGTTGCCTCTCCTTCAACATTCCTGCATCAGTTAGAGTCTGCTAGACCACTAGAACAAATTAACCCCAAGATGCTTTCCTCAAATACAGTACGAGTGTGTGCCTCTCACGCAACCGTCCAGAGCAGGCCTTCCCTGGTGAGTGTAGGTGTTCAGCGGGAAGGAGGACCTGCTCCAGCCAGAAGCTCTGCCATGACCCCCTGTGACCCCCAGGAGGTGCTGGTTGTCAACAGCTGGGAAGGGAGGAAGGGAGGAAGGCAGGGGTGGGGGTGTGGCATGCCCAGAGCGGGTGCAAATGACTTCCACTCCTGGTCCCTTTGGCTGTTCTCCGGATGTGGCAGAGAGGACCTAGGCTCATGGAAGACTGGAAGCCCTAACCGGAAGAGCTGCTGGTCAGCCACAGACCGGCTCCCCTTCGTGCCTGGGGGCGGGGGCAGAGAAGGAATTCTGGGGAACAACCAGCAGTCTCTGCCACATCCCCTCAAATCCACTTCAGAAAACAAGAGTAAATAAAAAACCAAACTGCTGTTTACATAAGTTTCTACTTGAAACACATGACGTTATCTTATGACTTTTTTTTTTAAAACTTATGACTTAAAAAAAATGGGGTGGGTGGCTCAGTCGGTTGGGTCACCGACTCTTGGTTTCAGCTCAGGTCGTGATCTCAGGGTCGTGAGATTGAGCCCCGCGTCGGGCTCCCCGCTCAGTGCGGAGTCTGTTTCTCTCTCTCTCTCTCTCCCTCTGCCACCCACCCCCCCGCCTTCTCTCTTTCTCTCAAGCGAATAAATAAATCTGAAAATAATTTTAGGCCAGCAGGGGATCGGACACCTGCTCTGCAGAGATGAGCTGCTGCGAGCCTCCCTGTTGCTGTCGCACATCCGCTCGGAGCTCGTCACCACCGGCTTCCCCACACACTTCAACCACCAGCCCCCAGAAGAGACGGACGCCCTCCGGGAGCCATGGCCCTGACCGCCTTCCTGCAGGCCTTGGGGAAGGGCGTCTCCATGATCCTTGACCAGAGAGCCTTGAGTTTGTTCGAGAGGCTTGTGGAAGAAGCTGTTGAGCAAGGTGAGGAGTGAGATGAGGATAGTCCGTTTCCCCCAAACGGGCCTTTGCGGGCAGAGGCTGTGGGGATCGGGGGGGGGCCGGGTGTGTGGAGCTCCTGCCAAGCACCCAGCTCAGGGCTATGCACCGGACAGGGGGCGTTTTCCTTCCTGTTCGAAACCTCTCTGGTATCAGCAGCATTAGCCCCATTTTATGGATGAAGAGGCTGAGTCTCTGAGGGGTCCGGGTGAGTTGCCTGGGTGGGAATGGTGAGCTCGAGTTTGAACCCGGGTCCTCCAGGCTCCAGAGCCCAGGGTCCTGCTGTGCACCTGCTCCCCTCCCTGTGTGACCTGCAGGGGACTCGGCAACCCAGGCCAGCCTGGACCCCAGCCCCCGACCCCCCGGAGGGGGGTGGAGGTGCGATAGTCGAAACCAGAGGTGGCAGGGTCCCTCCCGGGCCAGCGGGGCGGATGCCCCGCGCCGCACAGCCTCCTGGAGCACGCAGGTGCCTGAGAGCTGCAGGCTACGCTGGCGTGAGGCCGAGCCGCTGTCCGCATCAGGATCGGCTGGGGTGCACTGTGAGCAGCAGCTCTTCGCCTCTCCTCTTCCCACTAGGGTTGTGCGGGCATCGGCGCAGAGCCTGGTGCTCTGACCTACTTCCCGCTGCCTGTGTCCCTGTGTCCCTGAAAATGTGTTTCGGGGTTTCTTCAAAGCTGTGCAAAACCACTCAGTCCACAAGTAAGGGGACTGGTGTCTCCGGGAGCCCCTCAGCCAGGGGGGCACAGGGCACAGGAGCCTTGCCTCTTGTCTTTCAGAGACAGGCAGGTCCCCGTGGAACTGGGACCCCACTGCCTGGAGCAGTGACCTTGAAAGTGCCCATTCCCCCCTGTTGGTTTTTCCTCCTTCCTGCCCTCACTTTCTGCCCTTCCCACCTGCCCCCTGGGGTCGTCTCCCAAATAAACCGCCTGCACCGGAGTCTTTGTGTCAGACTCTGGTTTCAGAGAACCCCAAACCGATGAACGGTGCAGGTGGAGGTTCCGAGAAGTAGACAGCTCTGTCTGTATTTTGAAGGGAGAGTCATGATTCCGGGTGGATTGGACGCAGGTGTGAGACAGGGGATGAGGATGGCTGCACAGTTCGGGCAGGGTGACGGGGGAGGGCGCAGCTGCCGGGGACCCACACCGCGGAGACGCTGCTCCTGGGAACATCCGACAGTGTGGCCGCTGTGGAAACCAGTATGGCGGTTCCTCAAAAAGTGTAGAAAATCGCCCACGATCCAGCAATCCCACTTCTGGGTATCACCCCAAAAGAACCGAAAGCGGGGACGCAAACAGATACTTGCACATCCGCGTTCGCGGCAGCGTTATTCACCAGAGACGAGCCAAGGGTCTGTCCGCGGATGAACCAATAAACAGAATGCAGTCTAGACAGACAATGGAACGTGTCCTTCAGCCTTAAAAAGGAAGGAAATTCTGACCGATGGGGGAACCTGGAAGGAATCATGCTGAGTGAAATAAGCCGGTCACAAGGGACAAAATCCTGTAGGACTCCACCTACACGAGGGACTGAGAGCAACTGCTGTCGTAGGGACAGAAAGAAGAACGGTGGGGGCGCCCGGGTGGCTCAGTTGGTTAAGCGACTGCCTTCGGCTCGGGTCATGATCCTGGAGTCCCGGGATCGAGTCCCGCATCGGGCTCCCTGCTCGGCAGGG